AGGATTAAGATAGTAGATTCCTATTTTGTGTAAGATGTTAGTTTTTAAAGCACAAATGCTTGTAAATGACTCTTACATAGTGGAAATTGGGAGGATTCCTTGTCTTGTTCTTTAAAATTCATGAATCAAATGTTTCACCATTAAATATGAAGCTTATTATAGATTTTAATGAAATAATCTGTAGTAAATTAGGAATCTTTTGTTTCTAGATTACATGATTTTCCTTTTTTGTTATTTCAGATGTATACAGACTTTAAAAATTATTTTCCAGAATTTATTATAGCTAGCATATTTGTTTTTCCATATGCAGTAAAATACACACACATACACACACATACACACATATACAAACACATACACACTTATATACACATACACATACTTACACACTCACATACACACAAAATTATTATTTTTTTGGTGGTATTGGTGTTTGAACTCAGGTTCTTGTGTTTGCTAGGCAGGCTGTCTACTATTTGAGTTACTTGCCTAGTTCTTTTAGCTTTAGTTATTTTTCTGATTAGGTTGTATGCTTTTGACCAGGCTAGCCTTGAATTATACTCCTCCTACCTCTGTTTAGGTTAAAGATGTGTACCACCGTACCTGGCTCTCAGTAAATTTTTTTTTGTGATTGAGTTATTCTTGAATTCATGGTTTTGATGTGTTGTTTTACCACATTTGCAGAAATTGTTTCTCTTGCATATATGCTTCCATGTTCATAATATTTGCCATTAGAGTTTTGATAGTTTCAGAAAATGAACTTGGTAGCATTTGATATTTTTGAGGTATTTGCTCTATACAACTTAGTAATTATTCATTATCTGAGTTTAAGTAGAAATTGATCTTAGTAGGCTGTTACTAAGTTTTATCTTTTAAATTTGTTTTATTCTTTTTGTGTTTTGCTTAGGTCAATTTGGGTAATTGGTATTTTTCTAGAAAATAGTGTATTTCTTCTAAATTTCAAGAATGTTGCTATAAAACTATATGTAGTATTCCAGGTTAGTTAATGACAGTTAAATATCTGTTCTTATTCTGAGTAACACTTTCCTTTGAATCTTGATGTTTATTTGGTTCTGTCTTTCTTTAGTGATCCAGGGAATTATCTCTTTTAACAGTCTTTACAAGTAGAATTTGGTTTTACTGATCATGTTTACAGTAGTTTTGCATTCTATTTCATCAGTATCTTCCATTCTTTTTATTAGTAGTTAAAAGTCTAAATCATATTCCTTTCTTCTTTCTTAGCATAGGGATATATATTTAACTTTTCTTTTACATATTGATTTGGCTGGTCTTAAAATGTCATATTCTTATTGCCACATATTCATGAATTTTTAGTTTGGATTTCTGTTTAACTCAAGTGGCAAAATTGTTTAGTTTTCCTTTTATTTTAAAATAAAATTTTAAAGTATATAAAATGATGTTATGGGACATATGCACACATACACATCTAGATAGTTAGATCGATAGATAGATAGGAGATAGTAAAATGATTACTGTAGTGAAAAAATTACTGTATCCATCATCTCTCTAGTTACCCAGTGTCTGTTACTGTTGTAAGCAAGAGCAGTTACAATGTAGCTATTTAGCCAGAATCTCAAATTCAGTACAGTTTTACTAATGGTAGTCTTAATTTCTAATCTTACTGTATCTTGTTTAGAAAAACTAACTTGGAGTGAAATGTTTCTGTAATTTTTATTTTGAGATATTCTGTTTTGTTTGTTTTGCAATAGGGGAACAAACCCAGGGTCTTATGCATGCTATGCACTCAGCTGCACCCCAGTCTTTAATTTTGAGATATACTTTGTGACCTAATCTGTGAACATTTTAAAATTACTGTTAAGTGTGTATTGAAAAGAATATAAACATGTATTAACCTATGGACTGGACTAAGATTTAATGCTATCCTCAAGTCTGTAGATTCCTTACTTATTGGTTATCTGCTTGCTTTCTTGATGTGTGAGCAGTTTAGACAAACTGTTATCACCATGGATTTGACAGATTCTCATTTTATTACTGCCAACAAATGTTTAATGTCTTCAAAGTGATGTTATAGGCTTTTATTAGTTTATAATTATTAAAATTCTCAGTAAAATTTATCATTCATTTTATAGGATATTCTAACTTAAGCTATTTCTTGCTTTGTGAATTCTGTCGTATCTGCCATCAGTGCTACTATAATCATTACTTTCCTCTTTACTCACCCTATGGTTCCCCCCCTTCTTTATTTTCAGATTTACTCTTATTTTAGTTTTGTCTCTTCTTAATAACATACTGTAAATTTTCCTTGTTTTTTTCAGTCTGAGAACTTTTCTGTTGCTGTGGGAATTTGATTCGTTTATGTTTATTGTAATGATATGTTTGAATTTAATTTTCTTCATATTTGATATTTTACTTAGCATGGTCTTTTATTGAGAATTCTCTCCCTACCTCACACTTCTTACCATCTTCCCCTTTCTTCACTGCTTTTTTCCTCCATTCCCTTTTCCTTAGTTTGAGATTTGTACAGCTTATTTATACCAGTCTAGTGATTATCTTTTGAGAGTTAAGAAATATGGTAAAATTTGTATCTTTGGAATTAATCAGTATCTGCAGTCTGTCCTGATTATTTCAAGAAATCTCAACATATTATTTTTCTTTTCCCACTATTTCTTGCCTTCCTGCCTTCCTGTACTTCTTCCATTACTCCAACTAAGTCTTGTATTGAGATGATGTGGAACTTTACATTTTTTACCTACAGGTGATAAAATTCCACTGCATCCATATTTCATTTGGGAGGGTAACTTGAGTGTTATATTAGTGATGTGAAATCATTTCCTCTTTTAATTTTGAAACTATTGCTTAATTGTCATTTTGTAGCCACTGTCATCTGTGAAAATACTATGCTTGTTGAATAATTTTTCTAGTTAGATGCAGTCTCTTCCCAATTTTTTTGTGAGAGAATTCTGTTCAAACATTGACCTTACTAGCTTTGCAACTATATCTGTTCCTCTATTCACTATCGAATAAATGTTTTATGTCACTGATTCAATATTTAATCTTTAAGATTTCTGGTTGTTTTGTATTTTAAAGGCTGTGGTATCTTCTCAAAGCTTCTTGAAGTATCAGTTATTTATATTTAAAATTATTTTTACCTTTGTCCTGTCAACTCTGTTTCAGGGTTTCAGTTATCTGTCTATTAAATTTTGTGCTTCTCTCAGGGTTTTGATTTTTTTGAAATGATTTGTGATTGATTTTGGGGTATATACTCATCTCTGTATTTAAGAATCCCTTTCAACTTATTCTACTTTCAGTAAATTTGTCTTTATTGCTTGTGTAAAAGAGGCAGTTATGACAGTTTAGGGGATGTGGAAACACTGCCCTTTCTCTGGATGTTTGGCTCATTGAATCTTTGCTCATTCTTAACAGTCTACTTCTTCAAATGTCCCTCTAGCTTGCTTGGGAAGACACTATGTGTTCAATATATTGGTCAGTCTCATGTATTCCTGATGATTTCATCTAATAGTCTTCTCATAGGATTGGGACTTTTCTCTGAAGTTTTGCTCTCAGTTACTTTGTAACTTCCAGGATACCTAAAAATTTCTGTTTTGATATTAATGCTCATTTTCCTGATTCTGATTTATTATTTAAAAGTATTTCTTAGTCACTGTGGGGTATTTTGGGTGGGAAGCCAGTAAGAAGCATGTGTTTATGGAATATATGCCTCATGGAATCTTATCAATGCTGGGAGTCTGAATCATTGCCCAGGTATCACTTGTTTTTTCATAGATGGTACAAGAGTACACTGTAATATAACATTCACTTGGGAATAGTGTCTATAAACTTTCTGTTGGAAGTTCTTTACCTAAACTTCTAAAGTTGTTTGTTTATGAACTATCAGTAAATTTTAATGAATATATATGTACTTACAACTGTGGCTAGATAGTCCCTTTTTGAGATATTTTAAATTCCTATGTAATTATAATTTTCTAATATATTTTGATAGTAATCTTTTATAAAGTCATTAAGGTAATAGATAATTTCCTATTGAAATAAGAGGTGAATACTTCTCTCCCACAGAGGACAGGACTCCTGTTTTCTTGCCCCATGGTAGAATTTGGGACTAAGTTGGGCACAGGAAGGGTGATGAGGTTACCCATGCTTAGCATGTTTTACTCATGGTGGGTTGTGACCTTTCTAGAGGAAGAGTAATTTTGTAGCAGCTGAATTTATGGATGGGTTTTTACATAAAGGAGTTTCATGTTGTATAATTAATTATATCTGAATGATACATCTTTGATTATCTGTTTGCATTATGACTAAAAGGTGTTGGAGGAGTATCTTTATATGACTATATAGTCATGATTTATAAATAATATTTTCAGCTTTGTCAGTGATATGATCTCTATTTCAGCCACAGCTCTGTTGTAACTAGAAAGCCATAAGCTATTTGTAAGCGATGAGCACAACCATTCTAATAAAACTTTACAGATACTAAAATTTGAATTTTATGTGATAAATTTTATTATACTTTTGGTCCCTTCCTCACCATTAAAAAAAAAGTAAAAAACATTTTAAGCTCATAGGATGTACAGAAACAGGTGGTGGGCTGGGTTTGACCCATGGATCATAGTCTGGTGTCCCCTTAATTTAGAAAATTATGTAAGAACATGGAAAATATTCATAATATAGTTGATTAAAAAGGCAGATTATAAAATAGAATGTGTAAAATAGTGTGATACAATCTAATGTAAAAAGTACAAGATAGTAATGGAAGATGAGATATCATAATACTTATGCTGGTTCCTTAGATTGTGGATACATTTATTTCTGCATGTGTTCATTTGCATGTTTTGAGTTTTATACTATGAGCATTTATTGTGTTGTTTTTAAAGAAACTATTCTTATTTCAGAAAAAGTTATTTAATAAGTTTGAGATTCTCTACATTCTCAGCAAAATCAGTGTATTTATTGTTAAATAATTTGATATAATCGGTTTTGTTTGCCCTCTGTTTCATTCTTAGCCAACAAGTCCCAAATTTGGAAAAGCTGACTCATATGAAAAACTGGAAAAGCTAGGAGAAGGATCTTATGCTACAGTATACAAAGGGAAAAGCAAGTGAGTTTATTATTCTTTGAATATGTCATATGTAAAATATATCTGCTCTCTGAAATTTATATGCCTACTTAAATAAGTATTTATTTACTTAAATAATTCTCATCTGAATTATTCTCATCCAATATACCATAGAGTTTTCTTCTGTTGGTTTCCTTTTTCTTTTCCCCCTAAAGAAGTGTCAAAGCCAGTGGAATTGGTTTTTCCCTGCTAGAAAATCGTTTTTCAGACTTGTCCAAATTATGTTTTCTGTTTTACCCTCCCCTAACTTTGCTTCCTGTTTCTCAGTGGAATTGGGACCCTCTAATGAGAATTCATTTTCAAGTGAATGATATGATTAATTTCTTTTGAGAAACCATTTTTTTGGCCTATATTACCTATACAGGGGATTTCATTGTAACATTTCCATATATGCTTACAGTGTTTCTCAGTTCGGTTCATTGCCATCTTCGTTCTCTCTCATCCCCCTCCCTCCTACTTAAAATGATTTCAGTAGGTTTCCGTGTTCTATTCACACAGGTATATAAAGTACAAAGGACATATTCATCCTCCTTTACCCTCTCCATTTGCCCTCCTTATCTCACTAGTGCCTTCCCCCAACAGGACCTGTTTTACCTTCCTGCCCTTTGTAATTTAAGTGTGTATTCATTGTTCAAAGGGGTTTTTGCCATGGTATTTCTCCTGCGAATATATTGTACTTTAATCATGATTAATTTCTCATGGAGGTTTAGTGTTAAGAATAAGACCAATGATTTGACAAAGTCAAGTGACATCTTTTTAAACTGAAGGTTTTACTCCATCTGTCAGAAAGTCACTTAGTTAAAAAAAAACCTGCAAAAATTCTTTGTCTTTTTTTGGCATTTTGCTGTATGTATTTCACACAGAAGAGCAACACTTCCACTTAGTCCTTTCTCCCACCATTGCTATGCTTGGGTCAGGACACACGTTTAAATTCTTAAAATCTCTTCCACATGTATTTCTCAGTGACCTCCTCCTCTCCCTTATCTACTGTATTTAGCTGCATGTAGCTTGTAGAAAACTTACTGCTGTTTTTGCTTTACTTCAGGAGAGACATAAGCTTTGTTTTCCCTTCATAATTTTACCAAGTGATGTTGAAGAACAATTTTGTAAACAATCCCTGTTGTTTCTTATACAATCTTCACAGAAATAGGATCTTGTAACCTAATATACCTATTAAATAATAAAGATATAAATGAGAATTCTCCGAGGCACTATTTCAAAGACATATTTAGAAATTTTGACTAAGTGCAAATTTAGGTAATCTGGCTTTTTCTTATATACTCTTATAATTTTGTTCATGGTTTTTAAGATAAAGAAATATTCCATATAAAATGTTTCTTTATGAAACAGAATCTTTAGGTGCAGAAATGCTATGAGTAAATTTTAAGAGTTGTAAATAAGAATAAAAGGTCTGTTTTTTATTTGAATGAGAAATCAATATAATGGGAAATAGAAAACAAAACTAAATCAAAGTTGCTAGGGAATTATGGATTTCTTTCCTTTTTTTTTTTTGTGGGACTGGGGTTTGAACTCGGGGCTTCATGTTTGCAATACAGGTGCTCTATTACAGCCACACTCCCAGTCCATTTTGCTCTGGTTATTTTGGAGATGGGCTCCCACAAAGTATCTCCCTGGACTTATCTCAAACCACAATCTTCCTGATCGCAACCTCCCAAGTAGCTAGGATTACAGGTGGGAGCCACAAGCGCCTGGCTTCGTTGAGCTAATTTTAACAGAGGTGTGTCCCAAGCTTTTATATTCTTTCCTAAAGAAAAATTTAATACTCTACTCTCTGAAAATTACTTGAACATTTAAATTAAAAATGTAATGCTAACTTCCCTTCATTAAGTAACCTTTATATAAAATAGAATACATTCTTTTGTCTCATTTAGTCCTCCCAATGTCCTAAATGATATGTTTTTTTTTTGTTAGTCATCTTCATTTGACAAGTCAGGCATCTTGTGAGTAGAGAATTTTCACAACTTGCCTATGTGCACACTGGTGATTAGTAGCAATGCTTGTTTTATCTCATGTATTTTCTGGCTTGAAGCCATTTTTTTTCTCTAACCAGCATATCATTACTGCTTTATATATGGTAAAGGCCTTAGAAAAAATTGATCCTTGTTGAATAGCCCAAATATTTTTCATATAGGCTCTGACTTGTTTTAATTGTGACTCAAACAGAAAGGAACACACTATTTCATTCAAGAAAACAAACCAAGAACTTGGAACTGCCTGTTCGCAAAGATGTGCTCAGTCGACTTGCAGAAATAACTTAATAACTCTACTAAATGCTTAACTTGAAATCTTGTAGATGGTTGAGAAAATTTCCCTTTATTATGCCTGAATACAAGAAAGACCTTATAAGTACATGTAATCTTTGAGAAGGATTGTTGTGGACAGTTGATAGTTTTTACTCCTGCAGACCTAAATTTATCTTGTCAGCTTTTCTTGAGCAGTTTCAAGTCTGTTGGTCACATGTAAAATTTAGTTTCCTCTGGCTAGACATGAAAGCCATTGCTTGCTCACCTGCTTTAAGAGATGACAGGCTGCCTGAGTTTGCTTGCTTTAAGGTGGCAAGGTCAGTCAGGATGAGGAACCACAGCTACATAGGTATCCTGTAGCAAGACTTGAGAGTTGTATTACTTTGTTGTGTCTCCAGAATACTACATAATTTAAAGAGTCAGCTAAATAAATAGTGGGGTCCTGTTTCAGTACTCCTTATTACCTTTCTGTAAATACCTGTACCCTGCTTCCCCCATCGTTCGACATCCTCTTTAGCATCCCCCTTAAGAGTGGCTCTCATTATTTTGAAGTAAAGTTGCCTGGCATTTGAGAAAGAACCATAAATCAGATGGGTTAAACACCAAAAATTCTTTTTTTTTCTTGGTGATTCAAGGGTTTAAACTAGGAGTCTTGTGCTTGCTAGGCATGCACTCTACCAGGATAGCTATACCTTCAGCCCTTTTTTGCTTTGGTCACTTTCCAGATAGGGTCATGTGCTTTTTGCTTGAGCTGACCTCAGACCCTGATCCTCCTACTCTGCCTCATGCATAGCTGGGATTACCAACATGCACCACCATGCCCAGCTTTTTTTTCAGATAGGGTCTTTCTTTGTCTGGGCTGACCTTGAATCGCCATCCTCCTATCTCCACATCCCACATAGTTGAAATTTCTGGTGTGAAGCACCACATCTGACCCCAGAAATTTATCATTTCACACTTCTTGAGGCTAGAACGGTAAGATCCAAAGTTCCTTTTAAGTGCTGTGTTGTATGCCTCTGACCTAGCTTCTGGTGGTATGCTGGCACTCCTGTTTAGATGCATCACCCTGACCTCTCTGCCTGTGTGTGTGTGTGTGTGTGTGTGTGTGTGCCTGTCTTTGTTCAAATTTCCCTTTCCCTTCCCTTTATTTTCCTTGAGTGCTGGGGTTACAGATGTAAGCCACCACACCTGGCTCTCCTGATGATCAGGACAAGTCTTTTGGATTAGGGCATTCCCTAATGACTTGATTTTTAACCTGATACCTCTTTAAAAGCCCTACTTTCAAATTGTCAAATAAAAATTCACATTCTGAGGTGGTTAGAATACCAAACAGTTTTTTTTTGGGGGGGGACACAGTTCAATTCATACAGTTATCAATTTCAAATACCCCTAATATGGCATTGTATCCAGTACAGCAGTTTTCTTTGTCTTCCTGTAGTATATGTCAAGAGTCCTTTATTTTATGGTTGGTCCTTATGCAATGTAAATAAGGCATTTTACTCTCATGAAGAGGTTGATGTAATTTTTGATTTTGGAATCATTGCAGTTAGCTATAGTTTAGAAACTTGAGGAGGAATAGAAAGGGGTTCTCTTACTCTTGAATTCTCCTGGGTCACCTATTCTTATAGGAACACATACACTGGGAGAAGCTGACTTAGATTCCTATAGGTAGCCTGTTGGGTAGTGAGCTTGGTGTGTAAAGAATGGTTGACTGACTGTGTATATGTCAAATATAGTAATCAACAAATGCAATTTAAAGTTTGAACTTTTCATATTTGAGCAAAAAGTTATTTTTTGTTGTTTGTTTTTATTGGTATTCTCCATCCTTTTTCTACAGTGTGTGTGTGTGTGTAAGTGTGCATGCATTTGCAGTAGAGAAGCAATTTGTCATTAAAGGTGCCACTAATTTCTCTTCTGGTTTAGTTTCCTGATTATGTTCTCCTTTCTATGTTCCTGTATCATTTAATGTAGATGTAAAAAATCATGCCTTGTCATTTTGCATTTTAAAATATATTGTATTTTAAATTTCCTTTAATTCAGCATCTCAAAATTGCCTTTCAGTTTGCTAGGGACTTTTTTGTATTGCGACTTGTTAATATTTTTGAAGCTCATTCAGTCAATGTTGAATGGTTATTTTTTATATAATTATGCCCTTTAATGCTATCAGTGAAAAGAGGTAACTCAAATGTGGATTTTGCCCTTGGGAAATGTAATCTTGAAAGGAGATGGTACATACACATAAATAATTCTACATAAGTTAGAATGTAATATATGCTACATGAGCAAGAATGCAGTAAGATAGGCCTAGGTAAGTAAGAGGTTGTATGGTTTCAAAAGGAAGAAATAATGATGTTGATTACATTATTTTAAATGTGTTGTTTCCAGTGGTGACCCAGTTCAGAACCCATAGACTTGTGTGTTTGTAAATCAGGCCTCCTTAATTCCTGCGTGTCCTGGTGGGATCCATAGCATGGTTCTTTTGTGGTTTATTGCCCCTAATGTCTCCAACAAATATAATGAAATTTTCACCTTTTGGTTTATCAGACCAAATCTTTTGAACCCTGTCAGCCTTATAGTAAAAGCAAACAGATTCATTTTGATATTCTGCAAATTTTGATTAGGCAAACATATTGTTTGATCATTAAAGTGGAATTGGCTGTAACCAATAAAATTTGGAAGGATTAGTGGTTTGCTTTTGTGTGGGTACCCATGAATAAT